TGCGTTAACTTTCACATCCCGATGCGTTAACTTTCACATCCCGATGCATTAACTTTCACATCCCGATGCGCTAACTTTCACATCCTGACGCATTAACATGCTTTAAAAGCACGCACGGCCAGCACGGCCAAATCAACAAAGAAAGGAGAAGCTCGGATAACAACACACACAGAGGAAGAGGGACTTCATTCTCTGCTCAGGTAGATATTATTCCACTCCATCTTTACATAGCATTTAGTTGTTTGCTGCCATATGCATGCTCGTGTATTGCTCCTTTAAATCTACCTTTTTTTTCTTATTCTCTCAGGTATGGTTCATTCTGCACCCACACAAACTGAGAAATGTAATAAAAGTGCAAACTACTCAGTGCCCATTATTTGATAGTTTGACCGCAGTTTTATGACTGATAGTCATTAGTGTATCATGTGAAGTGCAACTGGTCTGTATATTTTAATCCAGTATCCAAATAGTCGCTTAATGCTGCTGGCACTCGCCACCATGATATCAAACAAGCATAGCAATTTCATCTGAAAGACATTTTTGCAATAGATATCAACAATCTGTTTTCTGATAAAGTGCCACGGCGTCCCCTGCCTCTCAAGAATGCCCATCGGGCCCCGAACGTGATCTCGATCACTGCAGTGCTATCTGCCTCTGTTGTGGTGCTGGGTGTGGCTTTGTTGCTGCTATGGAAACTATACTCACCAGCATCCATGCCCTGAGAGAAAGTTTTTTACCCGCTTCCAGAGAGAGCTGGAGTAGGGTGAGAGCCCTGCCCAAACAGACCCTTCTGTCAGTGCCTGTCGATCAGAGGATGTACAATAAATGCAGGAATTTGTCTCGGTGACATTGCTGCAGGGACATAGTGACAACTAACACGGCAGAACAAAAGCATGGCGGTAAACGTGATACATAGGGACAGGAAAGTACAATGATGGCTATGGAAAAGGCATGAGATATATTTTTAGAAAACGGCAACATATACATATTCTTTAGAAAATTAACATGCAGCATTGTATGTGCACATGTCATAACAATGCCTGATAATCACGTTTGATCACTAAGACCTTCAATTTATCATATCAATAAGACACAGAACATATGGCTAACAATAACCATGTTGTTTCCACTCTGTTGCCAAAGGAACAACCCCATCCACAAGAGCGGTAAAAGCCCATATGAAGAGCAGTAATAGCAGCTATGGAGACAGATCTACTTTTCAATCAGGATCCCTGTTGTGAAGCACAATGGAACGACATCTTTCATCTGAACTGTTGTCAGCAGTTGGTCCAACTTGTTTGGCGGAGTGTGAGTGTGTGTGTGTGTGTGTGTGTGTGTGTGTGTGTGTGTGTGTGTGTG